ATAGGCTCCAAATCATACCCGTTTTTCCTTAGTTTTATATACTTTTTCCATTAATTTTAATAACTATTTCTCTGGGTGCATCCTAATCAAAAATGCTAACTCTGCAATTTTGTTTTGTGCCTATAAATTAACCAAATTTTTTTTTGTCGTTTTCGGGCCTTACATAGAAAAATTATAAGCAAAAAAAGTTATTTGGTAGTTAGTTAATTAAGTTTAGTTCCCCGCGTTTATAATTTACCCAGAATTTCAACAAATCATAGAGCCGGCGTACATACAAAACTGTATTGATGAATTAAAAAAATCCGCTGGTAAAATCAATAAATACATTATTAAAATACGAACAATAAATTTTATGTCAATTTAAACATTATTTTTGTTAGAAAAATAAAAAATTGATCAAATTAACAAATACCTTATTAAATCAACAAAAAAATGGTATTTATCATTTTATATTGAATATTATTGTTTATTTAAATTTTTTTAATAAGTTACCGTAAATTATGATGACCAGTGTTTAAGATTTTGACGTAGAGTGGCTATATAAATTTTAGCAAATTTTTTCAGAATCGCCTTTAAAATAATGTTAATGAATAAAAAAAAACATTTATTACCATCACCATAAATATTCAATAAATTTATTTGTGATGATAATCTTAAAATAAAAAGAACATAAAATATTGAAAAAAATAATTACTATAAATATTAAAAAAAACAATTATTTTAGATCTATTGTATGTTGATAATATTTGTAGGTTTTGCTTTTTAATATTAACTCTTAATTGTTTAATTTATTTTTTTATTAAAAAAATTTTATTTTTATTAAATTTTTAGTATGAAATACTAGGGAAAAAAATAAAAATTCTATATACATTTATAAGTGTAAAATCAAATTATAATTTGCACATGTGCATCTATATACGCAGAGAGTTCTACTCGATATCAAGTGCTGTAGCGCATGTACTTCAAATTTGTCATTATATTATGTTTTTTTTTTTAATTTCTACTTTTACTTCTAACTACAAATAAAAGAATTCAATTTATAACGTATTAGATTATGTTTCACTATCGTAAAGTGCAATCATCAAAAATGATTTACAAAAATGTAAATCTAGTAATTGTTTATCCAATAGTGGACTACTCATTTTCATAATAAACTTAAAATAATATGAGTAAATAAATCAAATGACAAAAATTAAATAATAATTCAATTTTTTTATCATTAAGTCAAAATATTAGTGCTAAGAAATGTTCGAAAAATAATATAAAGCGTTAAATTCAGTTTTTATGAGCGACACTGACTAAGAGCAAATAAGAACTCGGTACGCAAACAGTTGCACGGATGTAACCTATTGTGTTGATTAATTTTGTTATTACATGAAATCCTTCAAAAACCAACATCTGCTTAAATCATATATTTTTAAAGATTGTAATATATTTTTCATAACCAAAAAAATTATATAATCAATTTACCGAATTGCCAAAGTTACTATTATATCAAGTTTTGTTCACAAAAAATGTCTATTATTAATCACTATTGAAGCCAATAACTCTATCTATTATTTATTTTTTGAACTGTTCATGTTCAGAAATCAGTTTAAAATATAATCATTTTATTATCGTGAATTATAATAAAAAATTTCTTTGAGATATTATGATTTTATTGATATTTAAGAATTAAGATTCGCCTCTAAGAATTTTTGGGGGGTTAATGTATCACCAAACTACCGCCTACGTACTGTCCTTCTAAACACATTAGTGATACCCATAATTAAAGTACGACGGTTCTTCCAAATACACGATGTCCATTAACATATTAATAATTTTTGGTCGAAAAGTTGTATTAGATAAGTCGTTTTCTTAAACAGAAAAATTTTATTTTATATACTAATTAATTATGCATGTTTCAATTAAAATAAAAATAAGTTGACACTCTGATAAATTATAAGAGTTAAATTAAAAATTACTTAGTAATAGATAAATCCAGAAATATACATAAAAAGTTAAAAAATTCAAAATTTATAGATTTTTTATAAAATGTATATGGTCATACAAAGTTTAATGTTATTTGTTATAACAACGTTATTCTATTTTTTCGATTTGTAATATTAAAAAGCTATCTTAATTAAAATTTAACTTTACATTGCTTTGATTCTAAAAAATAAATAATCAAAAAAATAAAAACCCAGCACAGTGACAGAATTAGGACAAGTATAGATGATATCTGAAGCTGATTGAAATTACTATCATATAAAACGCTTCAATGTAAATTTGTTGGCAATGATTAATTTTTAGAAGGAATTATTGAATTTATTCGAAACGCAACATCTTTTTATTTCAATAATTATATCCTGATAACAAATTTTATGATGCATTAATGTATCGTATGAATATGTACGTAGTATTGAAATTAAATTTAGTATGAAATTGATGTTCAATATTTTATTTTGTAATTTTCACAGAGAAATTATAAAAAGTTATAACTTATGAAATAATGGGTTAAATTTTGTTATAAATCAGTTATTTTCTTTATTAAGTCCTTTTATATTTTGGTATAAAGAATCACTGGTTTTCGTGTTATTTTTTATCTCAATTTTTTTATTAATAAAATTATCCATTAGCATTGTTTGAAAAGAGTTGTGTGGACTTAGTTCTCATAAAACTATTTATAGTTTCCATAAATGAATTGAATTTTTTGGGAAAAAAGTGAGGAGCAATTAGTGAGAAAACTTTTTGTCTGGTTTATTATCTAAAATTATGAAATAGTCATAAATATACATTTTTAAGCTATAACCAAGAAAATATTCCAAAAAACGATCATATATGAATTGGCAAATTTTGACCTTTTTATATATATATTTATTATTATAATTTGTTTATAAATCTTTTAACTAATTCGAAATTTTTATAGCTTAATTATTTATAAAAAGTCGATTGTATAATGTACTTTATTTTCTTTCTGTACTTNAAAGTCGATTGTATAATGTACTTTATTTTCTTTCTGTACTTTTTTTTTTTTGAAATCCAACCAATTATACATAACAACAAATAAAAAATAAAAAATTGTATATTATCAATAATACAGGGTGGGGCGTGGTTACTTCCTTGTCTGAAACTCTTAACACTTAGCGGATATTAATAGTAGAGCTTTGGTTTATGATGCGTTAAAAAGCACATTATCTAAGGTTTTTGTTATGACTAGTTCAGTGTCAACAATGCAGTGGACAAACCAAGAGCGCGCGTTCGCCGTAGAGGCCTACTTTTCTCTTAGCCGTTCGATCATCGTAACTCAGCGTGAATTCAGATAACATTTCAATATTGCGCCTGCAGATCGTGTGCCTGATCGGAAATCGATTTGTTTGTGGGTGAACACGTTTAGAGATACCGGTAGTGTGCAGAAAAAACATAATGGACCTTCCAGAACCGTCAGAACGCTAGAAAACATCGAGAGGGTAAGGATGGCGCTTTTGAAATCCCCTAGGCGATCTGCATGCAAACATTCTGCTGCTTTGGGAATTTCTAATCGCACAGTAAGACGAATTCTACATGAAGAACTCAATTTTCACCCATAAAAATTGGCAGTAGTGCAACAAGTTAATCCGCGCGATCATGTTGCACGAAAAAATGAATGTGAAGCTTTTCTTGAAAACCTGCCTCAGGACGCCTATGTTTTCTTCAGTGACGAGGCGCATTTCCATATTTCAGGATGAGTAAACAAACAAAACATGCGATATTGGAGCCCCACAAACCCGAGAGAACTTCATGAGCATCCTCTGCATACAGAACGTATAACTGTTTGGTGTGCAATGTCCAGAATAGGCATTATTGGCCCATGGTTCTTTGAAGAGAACGAAAAAACAGTCATGGTCACGTGTGAACGTTACATTAGCATGATTGAAAATTTTTTTCTTCCCAAACTCGAAGAAATGAATGCAGGGGAAGTGTGGTTTCAACAGGATGGCGCCACAGCTCACACGACAAGAAAGTCAATGGATCTTTTGCGGGAACACTTTCCTGAACGGCTTCTCTTAGAGGCGATCTTCAATGGCCAGCGCGATCGTCAGATTTAGCCCCCTGTGATTTTTTTCTATGGGGATACCTAAAATCTTTGGTGTACGCAGATCGCCCTAAGACTCTGTGTCATCTAAAGAACAATATTCGTGATGCTATTGCCAACATAGGTGCAGATATGCTGGAAAAAGTGGACAGAAATTTCAAATTTCGGCTATCTCAGTACATTGACGAGGATGGTAGCCACCTTAGAGATGTCATTTTTAAAACCAATTAAAATTAAACTTTAAATGTACCCCTGTACCCAGACAAAATAAATTAATCAATATTACCAATACTTTTTGTGTTATGTTTATTTAAAATAAGGAAGTAACCACGCCTCACCTTGTATTTAGGTAAATCATAATTGGACTTTCAACGCTAATTCCAAATTTAACTCCAGGTTTTTATCACTTACCGGTGACATTTATTTCATAATTTAATTGATTTTTTGACTTCTAAACGGCGTGACCAATTAACAAAATAATTGTGAATTTTTTTCTACAATTAGTTGAATAACTGAGTAATGATGTGTCATATGCCCCATATCGAATTACACCATTATCTTATGCATCCCAAGTAATATTAGTTGTTAATTTTTTTTTCAAACACACAAAAACTGTACAAAAAAGACTTTTAAAAATAAAATTGCAGTTTTTTTAATTTTTGAGCTTTACATATATATTAATAATTGCTCTTCTTCTGGTTATTTATTATGTTAATAACAAAAAATGATATTTTTTAATTCCTTATAAAATTATCTGCTGGTAGGAATTCCATAATTATAAGATTAATACAAAAATAGTTAAATAGAAAGTAGGTTTTCTTTTAAATGTCTGTCTTACTCAAATTAAAAGCTCTATAAAAACGGTTGAATTTGATGAAAGAGGTTCAAATTTTGCACAACTTATTTTAACACATATAAAGTATATTAAAAAAGTTTAAAGAATAATTATTTTTCTGTTTTTTTTTTATGATCATTCCTCATTATTATTATTATTATTTTTAACACAACCGTTTTTAATTAAAGCTTAATTATCTCAAAAAAATTTTTGTGAAAGTAAACATGTAAAGCCATATGTAGGATCAACATCGAATTTTCTCATAAAATTATTTAGATATTGTAGAAAGCAAAATGGATATTGTTCTGTGTTATTATAGTATAATAGTTTTAAACATTGCATTTTAAATTTTGACAACGTTCGGGAAAATTAGACACCTATAAAACTATATCAAATAAGTTTTTGAAATTCACTTTTAGTTAATAAAAATTGTCGCGACTTCACGTCATCAAAGTGTGATCAGTCACTAAAGAATAAACATAAATCGTTATATCGTTTATTGTATTTAAAAAACTTATAGGCCAGGTTAATTGAGAGTATCAGACTCTTAAAATCCTTAAAAAATTGTACAAAACTTTTATTAGACACATATGCATTGACGTGCTCTTTGATAGTTATTATTACTACTGTTGATTTAAATCTTTGCTGGTCTACAGTATGTCGGGTTAACACAATAATTATACTGATTGAATATTTTTTCGATTTGAAAAAATGTATGATAAGAATAAAAGTAATTATGATAAAATAGGTAATCAGTGTTGCAACTTAAAGGGATTTTATGTGTAACTCGGCGCACTTAATCGAACTATTATGTGCTTCATTTACTGAGTACACGTCGTCGTCGTCCATAGTGTATAGTTGGCCGTATCGCCGCCGTCACCCGCGACGCAAAATCGGGACCTGCTATTGGTTGACGACGGCATTCCGACGTCTATCCCCACCACACTGGGACTGGGAAATCTGGAACCGCCGGCGCCTCGACAGCTCTCAATCCCAGTTGTCCGCGTCTCGATCGTCCGTCGCTTCGAGTTACGGCTGTGTTTTTTTTTTGTTTCTGTTTATTTCATTGTTGTTATTATTATTATTATTAATAAATATTTACTAGATGTAGCACAATTATTTTTCTATATTTTAGAAATTGAATTTTTTTTTTTGCTAAATGATTTAATATTGATTAGTTTTAGTGTCATCAAGATGTCCCCATGTGATCCGCGGTAACAAATTAGTTAAATAATTTTTCAAAAAAATCATTGTGAGCATCTAGATTTGAAATTGTATTATCTATACCTGTCACTGTCACCTTTTAAACTTGTAGCAGACGTTGTCGTCTCGGTTTGCTTTTGAACCGTTTAAATCTGTGTGACGCATTCCTGAAATATAATTTTAATAATAATATTGACGAGTCTCGTACATAATCGTGTAAAGCTATTCGCTTGTGTGTGTGCGTATATATTCGTGTTTGTGCAATTTATCTGCTGTTGTTATGCTGCTTCAGATTTGCTCAAACATAGTGCAATGTAAGTTGAACATGTATTAAATTTTTTGTATAATTTCTGGTATATTATACGAATATTATTTGAAATAATTGAAAATGAATTTATGATAATTTACAAAATGTTATTGTTATTTTATCCAATTTTTTGGTGATGATAGATTTTAATTTTTGCTGTAGAATTTGTAAACATGAATAGTATGGATGATCATAGTCGAATGATGCATCCCAGTGGAACTATGTTACCTCAACCTTATGGGATGTCTTCAGTGGATCCAAACCATGGTGCTCCCACACCACCTGATCAAGAGACTCGTAAACAAGACATAGGTGATATTTTGCAACAAATAATGAATATCACTGATCAGTCTTTGGATGAAGCTCAAGCTAGGTAAATATTGATTTTATCTAGTTTGTAGTATTTAGTAGTTTTAAATATTCTTAAAGTTAATTTTATTTTTAAAATAAATTCTGAATATATTAATTTAAATAAAATAATTAGTACATTTCAAAATAATAATTTTGACTGACATCAATACAATAATGTTTTAAGTAGTATGTAACTATCTAAAGTTTGAAAATTTTTCTTTTTATTTCTATAAACTATAATATTTTGTTTCATTTAAAATGTTTATTTATGAGTAGCAGGTGTTTATAAGATGTTTACAAAGATGTCAAATACTTCCTTTGTATGTATAAATCTAAATTGTTGGTACTACATCTTAATAGTAATTTTCAGTAAATTCATGAACATTTTTTTATAGTAAATTATCAAAAGTTAAACAAAATAACTTTTTATTTTTAACTGATATGTAATTTATGCTGAAATAATTATTATTACCTAACTTTTATTTCATATTGTTTAATAACTTATATTATTTCTTCATTAAATTCATAGCTTAATTTTTTTCTCCTAATTAATAACTATCATTAAAACTTAGTTGATTTATTTAAGATTTTAATGGATACTAGAACTTTCTAAGTTGAAATTTAGTGTCAGTTACTTCTTCACTACCTTTTGTTTATTAATATCGAGGATATTAATATCCATGTCACTTTCCGATAATTAGATTAAAATTGCAATTTTGTAGAAGGAAAGTTAAGCTAATTTAAAACCATGTTCCATTTATTCATATTTCTAAATTAAATTTAATTTCAAATACGAGCTAAGATAAAGTATTCAAATTAGTTTGTAGGTATTTACCTATGTACATTTATTTAAATCAAAAAATATTAAATTTATTTGACATTAAAGACCTTGAGCCGAAAATAATATTTAATATTATAAAATTTGTTCTTAGATAATCATTTAACTATAATTCCGCTATGCCATAATATTTTTTTAAAAAGAGTTTTTATAAAAAATACAAAACCGAAATTCCTAAAACTTAAACTAAAACATACACTTAGCAGCATTACTTGGAAAGGCATATTTCTTTTTTCTTTTATATTAGTATATCATTGAATTAAACAAATTAAATTGGGAAATATTCTTTTATAACAATTCAAATTATTATGATAATGAATTTTAGCAGTTTTTATCATATGAATGTGTGTGAATAAAGACAAATATACCAACATTAATTAAACTCTCTATTATCCTTGTCATTTAATTGACTAGTAAGTTTGAATATATGGGTTATGTTATGACCACCCTGCTAATAATTAATAACTAATCCTAGTTATTTAAGATCATGTCATGCCGTGTGGTAATATCCCTCCTTACAGCTTTTATGAATCAGGTTGTACAGCCTATCAAGTAGTAATTTATAAAGTATTGAATTTTTATTTTTGTGTTGTTTTAACAGATGACAATTTAACATTTATCATATGTTTGATCTTTTAAAAATATAAAAATTTGTAAATTTAGGGTTTATTTTCAACATTTTTATGAGTGTTAGACTATTTAATACTCTATAATTTATAAAAAATTAAAAAACTTATTTTGCAGGATTGATAATTTTTCAATACAAAAATGTCTTTATTTTTACTAAGTATCAAAGATGTATCAAGATAAATAACTATAAATTTAGTTTTATTTACAAAACACTTTGTATTGTAAACTGCCCTTGTGACTGTTTAAATTATAAATTTGACTATATCAATATTTCTAATATTTAGTTTTAAATATGCACATTAAAATTCCTTGATATTATTGTTTATATAATGTTTGTTTAATGTTTTCTTGAATTTATTGTTAAAAGTTATTTTATGAATCTGATAGTTTAATGATATTATGGTTGTGAATGTGATTTTTAGGTTAACCACCTTTTCCCTACTATATTTGTAAAAATCAATGATATATTTTTACAGTCAAGTAGCCTAAAGTTAGAATACTTAACTTAGCAATCAACAAATTCAAGATTAAAATTTGAATATGTATTCTAAAATGACAATTTTCTTTAAAACTTTGTTTTGTCAGTTAAATATTTTTTATTGAATATCAGGGAGCCGTTAGTTCTAGCTTTATTTCTTTATTTAATAAGTATCAGCACAGATTATAAATATACAGATCGATTAATTCATGAACCATTTAATCAGCTTAAAAATAAAAATTTTATTAAAAATTTTTTTTGTTTTGGTTTCTTTTAGATAAATGTTTTTTTTAATTTATGAATCATGAAGTATTTTTAATGTTTATATCTTAAACCTTATAAAGGTGTCAACTTAAGTTATTCAAATGGCAACATACTTCATTCGCTATTTTCTTTAATAGATATTCATCTATTTAAGAAAATAACAACTTTTGGACCAATTTGAATATTTTTAAACCTGAGCAGAATGAGAGTATGGTTAGAAAATAACTAGTGATTAAAAAAACAACACTCACATCCCACTTCCAGCCTTTACTATAAAATATTAATAATTTCTAAATTACTGGTCTAAATGTTGTTATTGACATGTTATTTTCTTTATTATATGATTATTTATTAAGTAATAAATAGTTAATAAAGTATGTTCCTATTTGAAAAAATAAAACTGTTGCCCTTACAAGGTATAAAGAATAAACATAAAAAATACTTAATAAATTGAGAAAAACATATATCTAAAAGAACACAAAAAAATTATTTTTATTTATTGATAAATTAAGTGGTTTATGATAAATGAATCACCTTAAAAGTTAGGAGTTGGTAAAATTATTAACTATAACAGTCCTTATTTTTCCTGATATTTTGTTTGTCATGTCAACAAAAAATAGTTTGAAAATATTATAACAAATTTTAGGGAACAAAAAGCAAAAATATTGATTCTAGAATCAATTTTATAAATAATTTAAATAATAAGCTTAAATATTAATTAGTTGTAATTAAAATTAATTATTAATTTATTCAGTAACATAGATATACTAGAAAAAGTTATTTTATTCTATTTTAAATATTTCTACTGGAAAGATAATATTAGAAGAATTGTTATAAATTATAATATATATTGTCTTGCCCATATTGTAATTAATATGACCAATTAAAAATTAAATGGCATGTAATATAAAAAAAAAATTAGATCAAACTTTTCTTCGACTACCTTGTGTAATGATATTTTTCTCAAATATTATAATATAATAATTTCTGTTTTAATTAATATATTAATACATTAATTCATATTGCCTTAAAAAATAAATTAATTTTATTTAAAATATTTATTTGAAAATTTTTGCTTTTAAGAATTTGAGTAATTATTTTTGTGTATCAAAAATGTCCTAAGAGATCACAGATTCTGGATATGTTAAATATGTCAAATTAAACATGATAATACTTTCGAAAATTATATTATTTGTCTTTTTTTTGATAAAATATTTTTTTTAAGTAATGGGCCTCTGAAAATATGTGTAATTGTTGATTTTTTATATAAAACTCAATTTTAACGGTTTAAAAGACCTATGTAATGATTGACAATCGATCATCTAACTTAAATTTCTCATTCCTCTAAAATCTGTGAACTCTTAACACATGTTCTATAGTATTTTTTTAAATTATTTACTTCCATAATGTGCTAGAGCTTTTGAAATGTAAATTGTTAAGATACTTTCATAAAATAAAAAAAATTTTAATTGAATGTTTTTGATTTCTGGTAATTTTAAAATCCGGATAGTTTTTATTTTGTCGCCCTTAAGTAGGAACACAAATCTCACATAAAGAATTGCCATTCAGTAGAATCAGAGCTGTTTTATTACTAATTTCGATTAAAAAAAAAAAAGTAGAACCTAACTTAATTTTCTATATTTGCAAAAATCGTAATTTTAAACTTTTTATTAGGTATTATATAAGTTGTATAAAAAGTAAGATAACGGGTCCATTGTTAAAATCAAATACACATTTTTCCATACTTATTAACCACGCTATATATTTTTCATTCAGTACGTAATATTTGTAGTAAGAAAAACTATTTAATAACTTGGAATTTTAAATGTAAAACATTTAAGCATCATTAATTTAAAATTAATTTTACGATTTGATTTGTAACTATTAATTTTACCTTTAAGAGGTCAACAATAATTTTAATTGAAGATATTTTTAGTTTAAACATAGTTCACTTTTTCTATATTTTTCTGTATCTAAATCTTATTTATAATACAACCAAAATGTTAATAATATATTTTTATTTTTTTTTAGGAAACACACTCTTAATTGCCATCGAATGAAACCTTCCTTATTCAGTGTTTTATGTGAAATTAAAGAAAAAACTGGTAAGTACTTATTTGACTTGCTTAAAACATTACAAATTCATTAAAGATATGAGTATGATACTTATAATGTAGTATAATAATTTATTTTTTACGGGGCCAGATCATGATAAACAAATTAATACAATTTATAGTATCTTGAATTTATAGTGCTGTAAAGTAACTACAATAGTTAATCTTGTTTTCGTAAATAAGTTATATTTGGTATAATCAGATATTCTTAAATAAACGCCACTTTGCTAATCGCGATCTAAGAATATTAAAACATGTGATCTATTTAAAATCTTCTCTTTTTTTCGAGAGAGAGATATTATTGTCTGTAACTATGATTTAATGTTTTCCGTATTAATGATAACGAGTATTTTTAATTTTTAAGTATTATATAAGATTAATTATATTTGTCGTCACTTTTCGCAAAAATGACAATTTTATTAATTTAAAAAATTTAAGAAAAAAATTATTTAATAATTAAATTATTTCATTTTATATATATCCAATCATTTTTCATATATATATAATAGTCAAAGTTTTTCAATATATTAGTTGATTGTTGTTACAAACATGTGAAAATATACGTTTTTTTAAGAAAAAAAAAATGCTTTTGTTAATATTTGTTTAAGTAGCGTTAACGTATATCAGTGAAATTTAAAAACTCAAGCACCACGTAATACGTTAATTGTTACTATATATAAATATAAATAAATATATATAAATATTGATGACACAATTGCAAAAATGTAACTTTTTTTGAATCGTAAAAAATTGCTTTTATTTGAAATTAATGTACCTCTGTTTACGAGATAGTTTGATTTTAGGATTTGAATTTTTATTATTATTTAATGTTTGTTCGATTAATTTGAATATTATCACTATTCTTAAATGTTGACTAATTCCATAATTTCTATGAAAGTTATATATANATCACTATTCTTAAATGTTGACTAATTCCATAATTTCTATGAAAGTTATATATAACTATCATAATTTAATCGTATAAATGATAATGTTTCTGCTCACAACAAAAAATTAGATTTTTTTTACTCGTCATGTTATCTGTTTTACATTTTCTATTTCACCATATCACTATTTATACTTTTTATAAGTAAATTTAGAATGTATAAATCTTAGAAAATGAAATTTTGATATTTGATGAATATTTAAAAGAATTATCTAACATATTCTTGTTTTTTATTTTACTGTAAAAACTCCTCTACAATAATACTGCAAAACCAATTGTTCAAACTTTAAAATCTTTACGTTATATGTATTTTTAGTTGATTTAACAAACGTTATATTCGTAAAACAAAGAACGAATTTATTTTGGTTGTGATACTACCAATTAAAATAAAACAAATTGCTAAAAATAACAGTATTTTTAGTTGCGGATAATATTAGAAATTTGTATTATTAATAAATAATATAATATATATTTTAATTACAATTAATAAAATAGTTCTTTTTTTTACTGATGTAGTAGACCGATTGTTTGTTATTCTGCATTGAAATATTTTTAATTTAGTATGTATTATACATGAAATAAAAAATATAAATCATTTATTCGATTTACTGATTTTAATCAAATTTCTAATTACAATTCTTCGAAAACAAAAATTACACTTAATATAATCTAAACTGTAATACATTTTGTTGAAAATGTAAGTTAAAAATAATTATAAACGTTAACGTTGTTTTATCGGATGTGATTATATACGTATCATAATTGTCTGATCATTCACTTGACGGCCAGGCGAGCTAGCAGACAGACACTCGTACACAATAATATGATTGTAGCCACCGCTGAGCATCCCTGGACCAGTAGGTATGAAATATTTTAGAACTGGTTTCTTTGTGCATATTAAACCTGCCGGTTCGCCTCACGCCGCGGTGTTTCTTCCACCGCACCTGGGACACCCCTCAGTGTTGTCTGGGTCGTTTACCGTCTAAACGAAATCAAAAGATTTCACTTGACCGCCATGGTGACGACGATTGTGTCGTTAGTTGTTTTACAAAGAAAAAAATCGATGCTACACCTTGGTGGTTTTTTCCCATAAGGCTTATGATATCATTTACATTTTGACAAACGATTTTATAGCATATGGTAGTTGGTGTAACAAGACGTAGTTATTTTATGTTTCCGAGATTGCAATGCCTCATGTTTATATATATATATATATATAGTTTGAAGTTTGGTTAATATGATGTATTTTCTTTTGTGTATATGTATATATTTATAACCTCGTTTTTTTACAACATTAATGATTTGTCATACGTGTACTTCATGTATCACATTATAATAATAATAATAATGCATAATATGTAAATTGAGATGGGGATATCAACCTGTTTTTTTTCTTTATAAAGACGCCAGTTTTTATATGTACAATGATTATTTAAATTCATTTTTATATCATGTAAAATATTTTTTTAAAAAATATTAACATTTTTTGTTATTTACAATGAATTTCATGGTCGCAAGAAATTAATCTCGAGTATGTATTATTATCACCGAGTGTGGACTTGGTAGATCGATTGTGCATAATACACGTTTTAACGACAACACGTGGTTAAAACGAGAGATTATGAAAAAAACGTTGTTTGTTTTTGTAATAAGTCATCGTGCTGTCGTGTTCCGTTTTTTCTGCGGTATAATTAATATGTGTATTATTTATCGGCCGTAAAAATCACCCATCCGACAACGTGATGTATTCATATGATACCTGTTGGCTGACAGAATATTTAAACATACTGCCATCGTAAATAATGTTTAACACTCAATATTGTCATATACTGCTGTACATTATACATGTATTCAGAGGCGACTTGTCAGTCAAATAGCGACCCCAAAAGCATCAATACATCTAACAGCAGATTGTTCCACGATTCTCGTGTATTCACGATCAGCCATTCTCTTTGCTGCGTGCCGCCTCGACTTTAAAAGGAATAACAATAATGCGGGATGATTTCTTCACGGCCATTAGTTCTAATTATCTGACTCATTAAAATAGTCAATTCTCAATCGTACCTTAAATTAATCGTGTTCATCGCGTTGGCATTGATTGAGTAGTGTTCACGTGTTTATACATTATTTTAAAAGTAAAACATAACATTTTCTCTGAGTTGATTGAACTTGCTCGGTACACAAATTTTACATAAACGTTTAATATGTTGGGCACAAAAGAACATTTCCTGCAATATATTGAAATTGACACCCTGATTGTTTTTTTTTTACCTCAAACATAATCTTGAGGGAGTTATTAATATGATTATTATGAATTATTTTACATAAATTAATGGAGAACAAGTTATATGAATTATAAATATAGAGAAAGATCTCTCTTGTTATCCGTAGATCGTGCACAATCAAATTTTAATATATATTCTTCTTTTCTAGATTTAAAATTTTTTCTAAGTTATTTATAACAAACTATCCTAGTATAGCACCATATATTATTTAAAAACTAAATACGGAGGCCACTATTGGTTACCAAACAATATGAGTATATTAGTAAAGAAATTCATCAATTTGTCATGGCGTATCCTAGTAACATCTTTCAAATTTTTATTCTTCACGGCTAACCATTCTTTTTTATTCTATTCTTTTCGAGGTCAGTGCTTTAATATTTTATCGTAGTTTCGTTCCGTAATATTAATGTGTATATATATATATATATATATATATATATATTTAAATTGACTATTTCCAGTCAAGACAATGTATTAAGATTTACAGAACAAAAATTATTTATGTAATTAACAAGTTGAAATTTACTTATTAAATTAAATTATTTTTTAGCATAAATGTTGTAATTTAACTCTTTTGACATAAAAATTATTTTGGTATATTGTTATCATCTTATGCTTAAATTACTTGTATGTTCAATACATGTATTTACGCGCATGTATTTCAATATAACGCGCGGGTTTGAGAGCAAAAGCAATATTGTAACATGGTGGTTTAAATTTGAACTTGGTCTGAGTGGTTCATGAATAATTCAATGACAGTATAGGACCAATAGTAGTGGATGGTATTATGAGTGGGGATTCCAGGGTCCAGTCCGTCTACCTCCTCTCATTCTTCCCACATCTCATACAAACGCAATAAGTTATTATGTCCGAGATAATCCCCAACACTCTGTGTATTACCAAGATAAAAAAAAAACTTTTTAGAAAAAGGATTCTGCTTATTCCCCATTGGTAGGTATAGTTTTATATAAAAACTGTTTTAATGTTATCTTAGATTATCAACGGTGAACATCTTAAACGTATTTTCAAAAAGAAGGAAACAAATGCTATTAATTTAAATTGAAAAACGGGCTCGTGTTGCAAAATAAATGTAAATTAAAAATGAAACGTAATAGTAAAATGATCGAAAAATAGTAATCTCGAATCTTTTTTTCATTTAAATAATTGTAGTAAAATAGAATCGTAGAGTGTTAATGTTGACAATCACACTGAATTTTATAAGATATTTATAAGAATTTTATATGGATTATTTTTTTAATGTTTTTATAAAAGGTTAAGAATGACATGAGTTTTCTATTCATTACAATTTAGTAACTTTTATCCATCTGATATCATACATAGATTGATTTTTTTATATTTTATTTTTGTTTTCTAGTATGATTAGATTGTATGAAAATAAATTTTTGTTTAATAAATTAATGATTTTTATCCACATATTTATCGTAAGTCTTGTATTGAAGCATAAGGATTGCGTGTACGTCGGTGATAACGATGACCACTAATACTGTCAACGACTTTATACAACTCGGTTTGTCATCTTTGTTAAAAGTCCCATGACATCTAGAGCAATATATTCTAGATTTATTTAGTGTACCTTCAAAGTTAGTTAAAAATTTCTTACACTTTTTTTGTAAGATTTTTGTGTATACAAGGTGTGTTGGCAAATGATTTTACTTTTTTCTGGCTATAATTTTAATACTTACTTTAATATAGTATCATCAACTTAATGTATTAATTTTAATAAATGTATTCATTGTCTT